AAGAGTGGGGGTGGCAACGGGGGTCTTCTCTCCCAAGGGAAGTATGCAGGCTGAGTTAAAGTGAGGAAGGACTCAGCGGTCCTTTGTGTGGGCAGCCGGGCAGCCAGGCTCCCCCTGACCTGTGCAACCCCAGGACTGGTGGGAGGTGGGGCCCTTCCCAACTTGCTTAAGGTGAGGTTTGGGGGGCTGTCGGAAGGCAAAGCTCTCCCCTTTCCCAGCCCCCTCCTTCTTAGCAGGGTCTCCTCCTTCCCTTCACAGTGGGAGTTCAGAAAAACCCATTTTGACTTGAATGAGAAGCACACACACACACACACACACACACCCCCCCCCGCAAAAGGACTAACGGCTTAATTTTAAACGAGCATTTAAGTAGCTCCAATCCTGCAACTGTGAAATATCTCGGGCGAGGTTCTCGGAAGGAAAGAGTTGGGGGAGGGGGGGGGGGGGGGGAGTCCTGTCCCCAGGGACTGAAGAAAGGGGTGGGGTGGGGGGATGCAGAACGGATGTCCTGTTAATTCTGAGATGTACAGAAGTCTTTCAAGCCTAATTTGTTAACGACAACTGGCCCGGTGTGAGGGGCTTCCAGTACTTGCCACTAAAACTCTCTCTGCCGGATGGTGTTTTGTGAATCACTTTTTAAAAAACAAGGATGTTTGGTGGATCTTTCGAGGCCGTCTCCTCCCACCTCGCAGTCTGGGTTTGAATAAAATTAATCTGTGGACTAACTTGGCTGCCTTTTGCATCCTCTTTGCCGGTCATGAACAGGGGAGTGGCCGGGGGGGGGCAGACACCCTCGAGGGGTTTGTGAGTACATCCGTGCGCATGAGAGAGGCCTCAGTCGCCATTTTCTTAACACTCAAATACGCAACTTAAGAACATAAGAGAAGCCCATGTTGGATCAGACCAATGGCCCCTCCAGTCCAACACTCTGTGTCACACAGTGGCCAGAAATACGAGGGGCCCTCAGGAGGTCCAGCAGTGGGGCCAGGACACCAGAAGCCCTCCCACTGCTGCCCCCCTAAAGCACCAAGAATACAGAGCATCCCTTGACCCAGACTGAGAATTCCCATCTATACCTGGTGGCTAATAGCCACCGATGAACCTCTGCTCCAGATGTTTACCCAATTCATAAGAACACAAGAGAGAAGCCAATGTTGGATCAGGCCAATGGCCCATCCAGTCCAACACTCTTGTCACACGGTGGCCAGAAATACCAGGAGCCATCAGGAGGTCCAGCAGTGGGACCGGAACTCCAAAAGCCCTCCCACTGTTGCCCCTCCCCAAGCACCAAGAAGACAGAGCATCACTTAACCCCAGACTGAGAGTTCCTGTCTATACCTTGTGGCTTATAGCCACTGATGGACCTCTGCTCCAGATGTTTACCTAATTCCCTCTTGAAGCCATCTATGCCTGTAGCAGCTGCTCCCTCCCGTGGCCGTGAATTCCAGGTGTTAATCACTCTTTGGGTGAAGTAGTGCTTCCTTTTATCTGTTCTAACCCGACCGCTCAGCAATTTCATGGAGTGCCCACGAGTTCTTGTGTTGTGAGAAAGGGAGAAAAGTACCTCTTTCTCTACCTGCTCTATCCCAGGCATAATCTTGTAAACCTCGATCGTGTCACCCCCTCAGCCGTCGTTTCTCCAAGCTAAAGAGCCCCCAGCGCTTTAACCTTTCCTCATAGGGAAAGTGTTCCAACCCTTTTATCATTCTAGTTGCCCTTTTTCTGCACTTTTCCCAATGCTATAATATCCTTTTTGAGGTGTGGTGACCAGAACTGTACACAGTCCTCCAAATGAGGCTGCAGCATCGATTTATACAAGGGCGTTATTATGATACTGCGCTCGGCTCATGCAAAGCAGGGGCAGAGAGGCTTTCCAGAAGTCCCCGTGGGGCACAGCCAGAAGAAGTGTCGTGTGGCGAGACGGGCCCAGAATTGAGGCCCCCCCGGGGCAGTCCTGCACCCTCCGTCTCGACCCTCACAAAGCGCAGCCAGGTGGGGCTAACGGGGGGCTTCGCCCATCTGCAGTATTTTATTTATTTCATTACATTTATGAATCGCCTCATCCCCACAAATGCGGGGCTCTAGGCAATGGACAAATTTAAAATAAAACCATGAAACTATCCCAACCTATTATACACAGGTAAAACAAACCAGCAAATTTATATTTTGTAGTGCCGTCCCAATCCTGGCTTTTGAGTGTTTCGTGGGCACGGGGAGGAAATTCGGAAATGGGATCCCCTTGTCCGCAGGAGTCCCTCCCCCCCCCCCGGTAGGGGAGGGGGGCACGGCGCTTCCTAGGCCTTCCAGGGGATCTGCTGAGTAGTGGGCCTATCGACCACAAGGGGTCTTCTGTTTAACACTCCATACCTGGCTTCTCTCCTCTGTCCGCTGCTTAAATCAAATCATTAGCAATTTATTCCAGCATTTATCCTGTCTGAATAATCTTTTAAAGAGACAGAAAAGCACTCCTAGGGCATGAATTCCACTGTGCCCTCCGTTAAGTAGCTGGATAACGAAACCACAAGGCCAAAAGCGAAAAGACACAGAACAGGGGAGCAGCGCAACAGTTCAAATACTGTCTTTTCCCAAGCAACAGCGGAAAATGCAGGTTCTTGAGAGGCAAAGCTTGTAAGATGTGTGCCGGAGAGATATGCCCAGCTGGTTTACAAGAGATAAAAGGAGTAAAAGCTTTGAAACCTTTCCAGAAACGGGGAGCTCACTTGCAGCGCGTCTTTCGGTGAGCCGGCCGAAACCGGAAGTCGGGTCTTGGGTCAAAGCAGTGGGGAGGAAGCGCATCGCGTAGGGCCGGCCATCTTCCAGCCCAGCCTCTACAGAGGCCGGTGCCGCCTTTGAAGACCTGCCCCAGACAAAGAAGGTCGGCCGCACAAAGTGCTAGGAATAACTCACACGTGTCCCTTTTTGGTCGCCTCTTTCCCGGCCCGGCTTCGCTTCCAGAGGAGGGCCCAGCTCCCCCTCCGTGGTGGTCCTCATGTGCCGCTACTCCTCTCCCTCCAAAAGCCTGCAAAATGCACAGTAACGAAATGCGGCCTGCTTTGTGCCATGCGCCTCTCCTCAGCCTGCCCCGCCATGGTAGGACGTGGGGTGAGCTGGGGGGGGGGCGCTTCTGCCGCAGTCCCTTCGTACAAGTACCCGGATGTCCCTGGGCTAGGAGCTCTCAAACTCTGCAGAAGCAGCTCCCGCGGGGAACCGTCTCCCATCACACCCCCACCGTTCCCTGGCCTTCAGCCTCAAAGTCAAGAAAGGGGTCAGACTACGGGCCGAGGCCGTGCTGGAGCACCGGGGGCCTTTGCTCAGTCAAGCCACCCCAGAAAGGGGGGGAAGGGAATAAAGGAGGCCCTTCAATGTTCCCTCTAAGCTGAGTTAGTGTGAGCTAGCTCAGTTTTTTAGCCTCCGGCTCTCACATGTTTGTCTCCGCTCAGGCAGGAGGGCTCCGGAGCAGACTACTTTATGCAGCGGTCGAACCACTTGCTAACAACTTTAATGCCAGTAGCTCACGAAGTAGAATTTTTGCTCACAAGACTCCACAGCTTGGAGGGAGCCTTGGTCCCCTTCCTTTGGGGAACCAAAAACCTCTGGGCAAGAGCACACCGCCTGCATCTGGAGACATTATATGTTCCCCAGGGAACGGGCAGTCTCTGAGCTCCTGCCTGTTCCAAATGCGGCACGTGGGAAGGTGGTTCTGGTCCTCGTCTAAGGAGTGAGTCTTTGAGAGAAGCGGCTGCAGGGAAGGGGGGCTGAGGTCCAGGACGCACCAGCAGGAAAGGGAGTCCCGTCAGCCGCTCCGAAGAGGGGGTGGCCACCGACCGACCCCCACAACAGAACCTTCTTAGCGCGGCAACTTTGGAACCGAGCCGACTGTTACATCACCTGCTGTTCCGGAGAAGGGCCGGGGTTCTCTCTGCTCCAGGAAAGCTGAACCTCTGTTTGCAAGAAGCCACTTTGCACCGGTGTTTCTGGGGGAACGATGGTCACAATCGAGATGACGTCCGACTACGACGTGTTCGAGATCCTGGGGAAGGGGACCTTCGGGGAAGTGGTGAAGAGCTGGAAGCGGAGCAGCGGGGAGATGGTGGCCATCAAGGTCCTGAAGAACGACTCCTACCGGAGCCGGATCATCAAGAACGAGCTGAAGCTGCTGCAGACGATGGCCGAGGTGGACATGGAGGAGTCGCACATCGTCCAGTTCCACGAGTTCTTCCACGACGAGCTCAAGTTCTACCTGGTCTTCGAGCTCCTGGAGCAGAACCTCTTCGACTTCCAGAAAGAACACAACTTCTCCCCGCTGCCGATCCGGCACATCCGCACGGTGACCACGCAGGTGCTCAGAGCCCTGGCCAAGCTGAAGGAGCTCTCCATCATCCACGCCGACCTGAAGCCCGAGAACATCATGCTGGTCGACCAGGTGAGATACCCTTTCTACGTCAAGGTGATCGACTTCGGCTCGGCCAGCATCTTCAACGAGGTGCGCTACGTCAAAGAGCCATATATCCAGTCCCGGTTCTACCGAGCCCCGGAGATACTCCTGGGCCTGCCCTTCTGCGAGAAAGTGGACGTGTGGTCCCTGGGGTGCGTCATGGCGGAGCTCCACCTCGGCTGGCCCCTGTACCCCGGGAACAACGAGTACGACCAGATCCGGTACATCTGTGAGACCCAAGGGATGCCGAGGCACACCATCCTCAACGCGGCCAGGAAGGTCCACCTCTTCTTCAAAAGGGGGCAGCACCAGGAGGCCGCCAACACCTGGCAGCTGAAGACCCCGGCCGAGTACCTGGCGGACACCAAGGTGAAGCCGGTGGAGAGGAGGAAGTACATCCTGAAGTCCCTGGACCAGCTGGAGACGCTGAACGTCCACAAGATGATCTACCCGGACTCCGAGGCCCTGGCCGAGTACCTGGACCTCCGCAGCATGGTGGAGCTCATCAAGCGGATGCTGACCTGGGACTCCCATGAGCGCATCACCCCCAGCGCGGCTCTGAAGCACCCCTACGTCTCCACGCAGCCCCTCAAGCAGAACTACGGCCACACCCAGTACTACCAGTGGTGCCTGCGGAGCCTGCTGGAGTCCATGCCCGGCGGCAGCAGTGGCGGCAGCAGCAAGGCCGGGGGGGAGGCGGCGGAGGCGGAGGGCCTGCAGCCCTACGGCGCCCTGGAAGAGGAGCGGTTCTACGCCACCCAGGAGTCCTTCCCGGAGGAGAACGCCGCTCACAGCGTCCAGCGGACCACCAGCCAAATGGACGGCCTCAGCCTGGCCGAGGCAGGCCGGGACCCGCCCCCGGTGGTGTGGGACGAAGGAGACAGCAGGGGGCTGTACGAGCCCCTCTCCGGCCCCGCCGAGGCGGCCTCTGGCCGGCGCAAGACCCTCCAGCAGACCTTCCTCCTGCGCCACGAGCAGGAGCCCATCCTGGCCTTCTACCGGAACCGGCACAGCAGCCCCAAACACCGCAAGGCCTCCCGCCGCGCGCCGCCCGATCTGGCCTTCGACAACCTGATCCTGCTGGGCCAGGGCTCACCCGAGGACGTGGCGGACTGGGAGAAGGGGAGCAACCACAGCGCCACGTCCCTGGCGGAGCCCGGCGCCAGGGAAGGCCCCGGCCTCACTCAGGGCCGGATGCTTTCACCCGCGATGCAGGTAGACGGGAAGCGCTCGGCCCATCTGGCCACAGGGACACCACTCCCCTTGCTGATGGGTGGGTGCGGGTCGGCACGGTTCCCTCCAAGCTGAGTTAGTGTGAGGTTTTTTTAGCCTCCAGCCCACAGACGTTTTGTCTCCGCTCAGGAAGGGATGGGGGCTCCAGAGCAAACTAATTCGTGCAGGGGCCAGATCGCTGGCTCCCGACTTTAATGCCAGTAGGCGCTCACAAAGTAGAATTCCTGCTCACAAGACTCTACAGCTTAGAGGGAGCACTGGTGGGGGGTGGAGTGGAGTAGAGTCCCGGACAATATATTTTTTTTGTGGGGCCCCAGGCACCGCACATAGTCCAGCCTATCTCGAGCACGGGTTCGAAGCGCGGTTAACACCCACTGGGCCCAGCAGGCCAAGCTCTCGCTCCACCTCAGAGGGAAAGAACTGACACCCCCCCCCGCCAAGTCACCCTGCCGAATGGGCCCAGGTGCAGGGAGAGCCAGGGAGCAGGACAGAGGAGCCCCCTCGCCAGGCGGGGCAAGGAGAGGCTCCCTGGAAGAGCTGGGAAGGCCACAGGTCCTGGGGCTCCGGCCGGCCACTTCCGACCCTCCTTGGGAGGCCACGAAAGGAGCCGGTCGCTTCAGAGGGAACCCTCTGGCAGCAGAGACAGAGTGTGCAGGACGGCCAAAGGGCCTGACTCGCTCAGGCCTGGGGTCCGGCTCGCCCCGCAGCCCCCATCTGCCCCAGTGCCCGCCCCTGGGCCTCAGCGAGCAGTCCAGCAGCAGGCGGTGCAGGCAGGGACCCTCCTCCCCGCACAGGAGGCCCAGAGCGGCCCTCCTGGTGAGCACAGAGGCTTCCTTCTGCCACTGACAGGCAGACCCCGCACCCAGGACTTTGCTCCGCCGTCTCTTAAAGGAGGCCGAGCCCTGGCTCCCATCGCCTGACAATCTGCGTGTCTTCCCCTCTTCCCCCTCCAGGAAGCCTGCAGCAGTGTTCCCTCTGAGTGAGTGTGAGCTAGCTCACAGTTTTTTAGCCTCCGGCTCAAACATTTTTGTCTTGGCTCAGGAAGGAGGGCTCCAGAGCCAACTGATTGATGCAGCAGCCCAATCGCTCGCTCACAACTTTAATGCCCGTAGCTCACCAAGTGGAATTTTTGCTCACACGACTCCACAGCTCAGAGGGAGCACTGCTCCAGAGCCAACTGATTTATGCAGTAGCTAAATCGCTGGCTCACAACTTTAATGCCCGTAGCTCACAAAGTGGAATTTTTGCTCACACGACTCCACAGCTCAGAGGGAGCACTGCTCCAGAGCCAAATGATTTATGCAGTAGCTAAATCGCTGGCTCACAACTTTAATGCCCGTAGCTCACAAAGTGGAATTTTTGCTCACATGACTCCACAGCTCAGAGGAAACATTGCTCCAGAGCAAACCAATTTCTGCAGCGGCCAAATCGCTCACTCACAACTTTAATGCCAGCAGCTCACCAAGTAGAATTTTTGCTCACGGGACTCCACAGCTCAGAGGGAGCATTGCTCCAGAGCAAACTGATTTATGCAGTAGCTAAATCGCTGGCTCACAACTTTAATGCCCGTAGCTCACAAAGTGGAATTTTTGCTCACACGACTCCACAGCTCAGAGGGAGCACTGCTCCAGAGCCAACTGATTTATGCAGTAGCTAAATCGCTGGCTCACAACTTTAATGCCCGTAGCTCACAAAGTGGATTTTTTGCTCACACGACTCCACAGCTCAGAGGGAGCATTGGCGTGCAGCCTCCGTGCTGGTCGGAGACACGTTTGTGCCTGGAGCCAAAGGTCAAAGGAGCCTCACCCCAGGGCCCAGACCCCCCTCCCTCGCCTGCTGGCTTTTAAAAACGGTGCTCGGAGGGCAGGGGAAGGCTGCCTGCGCCAGAAGCAGGGTGTGTGCGCGGGTGTGTGTGTGCGCACGTGACCGCTCTGGGTCCTTCAGGGAGAGGCTGCTGAGCTAAAGAAGCCAGGTTTGTTGGGATGCGGGAGGCTTCAAAGCATGACAAACGGAACAGGGCGGCGAGAAAAAGAAGTTAATCGGACGTCACAGCAGAAAACGGCAGCACAAGCAAAGCCACGAAGAACCACTGCTGATCTGCAGGCGGAACAGCCAGATATTCGTCCCGAAGCACCTTAGAGGCAGCAACAAGATTTCTTTTTTGGTGGTGGTGGTGTTTGAGTCTTCAAGAGTCAAAGCTGTCAAGGTCTCTGACAAGGGAACACGGACTTCCGAAAGCTCCCCACCCACAAAATCTTGTTCGTCTCGAAGGTGCTCTGGGACTTCGATCTAGTTGTTACGTCGAAAGGAACCCCAAACAACGCAAAAAACAAAAAGGCTCCCTCTGCAGCTGCTGGTGTGACCTTGGGTCAGTCGCAAGTTATCTTGGAGCTCTTCTCTCAAGGACGGTTCTCGAAAGAGCTCTCTCACAGGGTGTCCTCACAGGGTGTCCGTTGTGGGGAGGGGAGAGGAGACTGTAAGCCGCTCAGACTCCTTTTGGGTAGTGAAGGGCCATGGGGTGTAAGTCCAATCTCCTCCTCCTCCTCTGGGAAAAACATGCACTGGCTGCAGCTTGGCTGACATCTCAGGGAGGGGGAGGGGAGGGCATGGCATGGCATACCAATGCTCCAAAGCAGAAGAGAGAAGAGATTGGATTTATATCTCACCCTTCACTACTCGAAGGAGTCTCAGAGCAGCTTACAAACTCCTTTTCCCTTCCCCTCCCACAACAGACACCCTGGGAGGGAGGCGGGGCTGAGAGAGCTCTTGACAGAGACTGCTCTTTTTCAAGAACAGCCCTTATCAGAACTACGGCTTGCCCAAAGGTCATCCAGCCAGGTGCAAGTGGAGGAGGAGTGGGGAATCAAACCCGGTTCTCCCAGATTAGAGTCAGCGCACTTAACCACTACACCAAACTGGCTGGGGTGGCCCTGGTGGTGTTTGAAACCAGTCTAGCCTCCCTGCGAGGTGGGCTTTGAAGCAGGGCCTCTCCAATTGACACCCCCCCCCGGTCATGCAGATGGAAGTGAAGCAGCTACGCAGCCCCTGTAGGGCTTCAAAGGCCGAAGACAGCTTGGGAAACCTGCAAGTAGCCAGTGCCACCGAGTTAGGACAGGCACAACACGATGTCACCCGCGGACAGCGGGCCAAAGGGTGAGTGCAGCATTTTGCACCAGCTGCAGTTGTGTGCAGTCTTCCAGGGCAGTCTCAGATACTGGGCATAGTAGTAGTCTGCTCCAGAGGTTACTAAGAGATACGAGATGAAAGGCAATGGCACAGCAATATATCAAAACAAGAAAAAAATGCATGTGCCCAAATTTAACATCAATGATCAATACATTTAATTAGACATATAAAGTAAAAATCTTTTCCCAAAAACACGTAGAAGTAGAAATTTTTTTTCAAAAACAGGTAGAAATTCACTGGTCAAGTTTGAAACAAGTAGAAATTGACAGGCGGAGTTTTGCCACACAATTTATGTGAATTCAAGAAAGTCCTTAATCTGAAAGGATGGAGTCGTGTTTTGCCAGCTGACTCGACGGACATCCATAAAGCATATTCAAATGTACTTATGAAGGAATCACTAAAGATTGCTGCATTTGAATATGCTTTATGGATGCCTAAATCCAGCATAATTCTTGGGGGGAAATTACTGAAATGGATTTAGAACTGGGGATCCCTCGAGTCAGCTGGCAAAACACGACGACATCCTTTCAGATTAAGGACTTCCTTGAATTCACAGAATTTGTGTGGCAAAACTCCACCTGTGAATTTCTACTTGTTTCAAACTTTGCCACTGAATTTCTACCTGTTATTGAAAAATTGTTCTACTTCTACCTGTTTTTGGGAAATTTGTTCCACTTTATGTGTCTAATTAAATTTATTGATCATTGATGTTAAATCTGGGCACATGCATTTAGGCAGCTGAGTCAAAAGCTCAGAAACGAAGAGCTGGGTTGGCAGGAAGAGATCCCACAGAAAAGGCATTTTTAGCTTATGCAGAAACGAGCTGGCGTTTGGGTCGGTTCTGCAGGAGACCGCAAAATACTCAGGACTGAAAAGCAGAATCTTTCCTGCTCCTGTGAGGAGACTTCGACTCAGATTAGGCTGACAAATTAAAAACAGGAAGCGGGGCGGGGAAGTCCTAGTGGCAGGTTCTGAAGTTGCTGCCCTGGCTGGGGGCAGCGGCACGAGGTAGCTGTGCCATTTAACCGTGCCAGGGCAGCCGCAAAGAAAGAGCCAAGACAGCACGGATCCTTTCCCCAAGAGTCTAGACGCCACTAGCAATGCTCCCTCCAAGCTGTGGAGTCTTCTTGTGAGCAAAAGTTCTACTTTGTGAGCTACCAGCATTAAAGTTGTGAGCCAGTGATTTGGCTACTGCATCAATTGGTTTGCTCTGGAGCCATCCCTTCCTGAGTGAAGACAAAAATGTGTGAGCCGGAGGCTAAAGAACTGTGAGCTAGCCTCACACTCACTCATCTTAGAGGGAACACCGGCCACCAGACCCACGTTTGGTCTGCCTCCACTCAGCATGTCACCTGCATTTCCGGCTGTTCGTGCAGGAGGGATACTGCAAAGCTGGAGCGTGTGCCTGGCCCTCTTCCCTAGGCAGGAGGAGACAAGAGGTCCCAGAAGCCATGCCTGGGGCAGCGAATACACAGAGGGAAGGACTCCCCCCCCCCCACTGGCTTGACTAACCAGCTGCTGCTGCTGGGAGCCTCAAGGGCTGTCCAGTTGCCGGGCCTCAGCAGGCAGCCCAAGAGATGCCACGGCCTCCTTCCCTCCCTCCAGTTTTTAACTGCCCTGTTGGAGGGCAACTGTACCAAGCAGCCAACCGGCAGTGGAAGGGCTCTGGACCTGGACCAAGACCAGCCAGGCTTGCCTTGTGATGGAGGGAGGTGGTGGCAGGGCAGCAGCCCTGTTCTGAGCAAGCCGCTGGGGCGTGTGTGTGTGAGTGGACTCTTTTGGGGAGGGGGCATGCAGAAGAAATCACAGTGGCTACTAGGTATGGCGACGAAGAGGAGCCTCCATGTTCAGAAGAAACAGTCAAGCTCTGGATCCCAGAGCCAGGGAGCAAGATTGGGGGAAGGCCTCGGCCTCTCTGCCCTGCTGTCGGCCCTCCAGAGGGACTGCTTGGGACCCTCCCTGGTCTGACCCAGCAGGGCTCTTGTCCACAGCACAAACACCGCGGCGGCGGCGGCGGGGGGGGGCGGTGGCTGCCCCCCACCCCCCCTCTTGGGCGGAGGAGACTCGATCCAGGCTCTGTTCCCTCAGAGCTCCTCCGACGGGCTTGGCCAGGGGCGCCCCCGGGACAGAGGCCGTCTGGGCAGGCTGGCGTCTCCAGGGGTGCCGGCAGGGAGGGTAACGCGTCTCTCTCTCTCTCCCTCTCTGGCAGCGAGCGCCCCCGGAGGTGTACGCCGAGCCGTCCGGAGCCCCGCTGCCCCCCGGGCACCACAGCTGGCACGGCCCCCGCCCGGCGCTGCAGCCCTTCCTGCAACACATCGCCAGCCACAACTGACCGGCCGGCCCGGAGGAGGGAGACGAGAGGGCGGCCTGCCGGCCGGCAGGGACCCTCGCCGCAGCCCCGGACACCCACAGGCTGGGCCTCGCGGCGGAGGGAGCCGCGCCCGCGCCAATAAAGGGAAAAAAAAGCCCCCCCCC